TCCTGAGATCCCTGTGTATTGAACCTCCTCAACTCAGGGACAGAAAGTAGTGACACTGGAGGAGTGACAGAGGAGCAACAGCAGCAGCAGAACCAAGAGCCAGAGCAGCAGACATAGTGGTGGACTTCCCAGCCCGTGGAGAAAGTAAAGCTGAGTGATTTGGGGCTGGAGGCTTGCTTGTAAACTAAGCTAGGGTGCCTCCAGGCACTTAATTGGGAAATCTAGGTTTGCTGACCCACAAAGCTAAAGCCGAGTGCCTTTAGGCTGAGGCTTAAGAAAGAGAGGCATGTCCTGTGGGCTTTTATCAGCAGCCCTAAAAGAGCTTTGTAACATTAACTGGGCAGAGAAAAGATTGCCTGTGGGTGTGACTGAGGACAGACTGTCCTGACTGGAACAGCTATGCCCTGAACCTTCCTGAACTTGAATACTAGTAGCCTGTTACCTTGCTTAATGAACCCCCATAGCTGAGTGTGGTGTCTGAGTTCTGTGTGGGCGCTGTAGGTTAATGCGCCAGACTGCAAAGCCATTTGAACTGTGAGATTGGTGGTTCAAGCTCACCAGCTGCTCCTCTGAAATCCTGTACAAGGTCACTATGGGTCAGAACTGACTCGACAGTACTTCACAACAACAACAACTGTAATGAAATGTGGAACCTAGCTGAGTAGAGAGGGCTATGGGACGGCTGGCTTGGTGCACATTTTTGTACTTATGTACAAGTTTACTTGCTGAGCATAGCAATTATAAAATATTGGAAACAACCTAAGTGCCTAGAAGATCTATTAAAGCATTTGTGTTGCATGCACACAATGCAATTATAAGAAAGAATTAAAATTATTCTAATAAACTGACATGGAGTTGTTTCCAGAGTGTTTTGTTAAGTGAAAAAAATCAAAGCACAAAGTATTAAAGAGTATGCCATTTTTTGTGTAATAAAAAAGGGGGACTTGGAAAGCATATATCTGCCTATTTTTTGCAAAGGAAACACTGGATGGCTAACTAGAAAATAACAGGGCTGGGGGCAGTGCAATGAAGGGAATAACACATCTCAGAGTATACCTTCTGCGTAGTTCTGACTTTAAATCCGTGTTGATGTTCATGTCTTCAAAAAATAAAATTAAATCAACAGGGTTGGGTGAAAATCCTAAAACTGAATGGAGCCAACTATATTTAAAATGAATAGCATGCCGCTCCAAAAAGGCAAAACCTAGACCAAGTAATATTTAAACCTAGTATCTTTAATATATATGTGAGGGGACTTCGAAAAGTTTGTAGAAAATGGAATTAAAAGATAATGAAATTTTTTCATGAACTTTTTGAAGTGCCTCCCACATTTAAGCTAAATAAAAAACTTAAATCTTGAATTTAAGTTCTTATGATTTTTTCTTTTTCTTCTTGGTAATGATATAGATAAAGTACTTCTAAAACTGTTTTTCTAGGTGTGCTAAAAGATAAGTAAATGAGTAGATCTACTGGGGAATTGGGTCATATGCTTACACTGGAGATTACTTACTCAACCTGTATACTGAGCAAATAATCCAAGAAGCCGGGTTCTTTGAAGAAAAATGTGGCATCAGAATTGGAGGAAGACTCATTAACAACCTGCGATATGCAAATGATACAACCTTGCTTGCCGAAAGTGAAGAGGACTTAAAATACTTACTGATGAAGATCAAAGACCATAGCCTTCTGTATGGATTGCATCTCAATGTAAAGAAAACAAAAGTTCTCACCACTAGACCAATAAACAACATTCTTATCAAGGAAGAAAAGATAGAAGTTGTCAAGGATTTCATTCTTCTTGGATCAACTATCAACACTCATAGAAGCAGCAGCCAAGAAATCAAACAACGTATTGTATTAAGCAAATCTGCTGCACAAGACCTTTTAAAGTGTTGTAGAGCAAAGATGTCAGCTTGAGGACTAACCTGACCCAAACTATGGTATTTTAAAAAAAACCTCATACGCATGCGAAAGTTGGACAGTAAAATAAGGAAGATCGTGGAAGAATTGATGCTTTTGAGTTATGTTGGAAGAGAATATGGAAAGTGCCATGGGCTACCCAAAGAACCAACAGATCTGTGTTGGAAGAAGTGCAGCCAGAGTGCTCCTAGGAGGCCAGGATGGCCAAACTTCGTCTCTCATACTTCGGACATATTGTCAGGAGGGACCAGTCGCTGGAGAAAGATATCATGTTTGGTAAGGTGGAGGGTCAGAGAAAAAGAGGAAGACCCCCCAGTGAGATGGATTGGCAAAGTGGCAGCATCAGTGGCCTCAAGCATGCCAACAATTGTGAGGTTAGCCCAGGACCAGTCAGTGTTTTGTTCTGTTGTACATAGGGTTGCTGTGAGTCGGTACCAACTCGATGGCACCTAACAAGAACAGTGGGGAGTAGGTAAAGGCAAAAAGAGTGGATTGGAACTGAAGATAGCATAAATGGGTTCTTAGCTTTCTGTGTACTAGAAAGGATTAGAAGTAATGATATTACATAGCAGTGATCACAACTACTTCCCAGATTATGATTTCTAAATACCGTTCCCAACCCAAAGGTGTCCTTGCATTAGAAAAATGATGGGAGTATATGAAAAGGACATAGAAATTTGTTTAAAGGAACTTCTTCTGGTGACGTCTCAGACTTTTTGAGCACCATAAGAAGGATTACTATAATCCATTGAATAATGTAAGAACCTATTGTTTTTCTTAAGTGCTGTTGAGTCCATTCCAACTATCAGCAACCCTATAAAGGGTTTCCGGGGTTGTAAATATTTTTGGGACAAAAAGTCTCATCTTTCTCCCTTGGAGTGACTGGTGGGCTCAAACTGCTGACCTTGAGTTCACAGTCCAGTGCTTATCCTACAGAGCCACACATTCCCAATTTCAAAGTAACACTTCTGTGTTACTTACTAATTACAAAAGGAAAAATAGTAACTATGCAGTGATCAAAATCACATTGCCATAAGGGACAAGCGAATATCCTGTACTTTTAGTACCCATACACTATAGTCAAAGATGGTATAGCCTGAATTTAAATATATGGGAAATATCAGATAAACCCAAATTAAGGGTGTCAAAAAATTGGCACCCATGTCCCTCCCACAGCACACTCTACCTGAAGCTGGGTTCGATAATTCACTGCAGTTGTTCACACGGAATTCAGACACCATACTCATAGTTATGAGATTTATTAGGAACGTTAACAGTGTACAATGCAAGGCCAGAAAATGCTCAGGGCACAGCCTCTCCTCAGTTGGCCTACAGGCAGGCTTCTCTCTGTCCAGACAATGTTACAAAGCTCTTTTAGGGCAGCTGATAAATGCTCACTGGGCGTACCTCTCCACTGTAAGCCTCTTCCTGAAGATACTCAGCTCCAGCTCTCTGGGTCAGCAAACCTAGCTTCCCCAGTTAAATGCCTGGAGGCACCCTTGCTTACTGCGCAAGAAGACTTCTGCCCAGAAACACTCAGCTTTACTTTCTCCATGGGCTAGAAAGTCCACCACCACTCAGCCGGGTACTCTGGCTCTTGGTTTTTCTGCTGCTCCTTTGCCATACCACCAGTGTCACAGCTCTCTGACCCTGGGTCCAAGAGGTTCCATACGCAAGGACCAAACACATTTTTAAATTACAACTCTGTAAACAATCACTGCTGAATCATATCCCATCAGCATCTTTCCCCATCTTGTCTTACTGGATGATCAGGAAAAAAGCTTCTTGGTGAGAGTTACAAAGTCCATGGTTAGAAGATACATTAAACAGTTTACTGCACCACAAAGGGACATTTTATCAAATAAAGCCAGTTTCCCTCATACTTGTACACATCCTGATAGGAGCCCAGAGCCTGGGATGTACATATTACCATGTATTCTTAAATATATGCCAATTTCATAAAATACAAATCAAGGTGGAAGAACTGTTTCAGATTAAAGATACATGTCATGATAACTAAATGCAATGAATGATCCTGGATTACTTTGTGGGGGGAAGGGAAGGAAGGGTTGTTTTAAAGAACATTAGCAAGACAGTTGATTATGCTAGACTATGAACTGTGAATATGATAAACATATCAGCAGTAAGTTTTCTGAATTTGGTAACTAGGCTATTTTATAAGGATCCCTGATGGTGCAACGGTTAAGTACTCTGCTGCTAACTTAAAGGTTGGCAGCTCAAACCCACCTAGCAGCTCTGGAATAGAAAAGATCTATTTGTGCCCATAAAGATTAGGAGCCTAGGAAATCCTACTGGGTAGTTCTGTTTTGTCACATGGAGTCACTATGAGTTGAAATCAATGTGGTGAAATATAACAATGACTGTGCTTATGTTTTATTTTAATAAAAAATTGAAAAAAAAACAACACCTTGTTCCCAGGAATACAAGAAGGATTCAAAAAGTTTGTGGAAATATGGAATTAAAAGATAAATGAAATTTTTCCATGAACTTTTTGAAGTCCCCATATACACACAGAAATAAAAAGGGATAAAAGGACATGATGTACACAATATACTTTCAAATGGTTCTAAAGAAAAATATATATTAAAATATAGAGAGAATATGGGGAACAGAATGAGAATGATAAAGGAAATGTGCCGTAAGCCATTAAAATGGATAGAGTTGGGCTAAGAGTACATAGGAGTTCTTTGTCCTAGCAGATTTTCTGTTAGAAATTATTTCACAATAGAAATATTGTGTCAGGTAGACAGCTACGGTCCAAGGGTTAGATACTTGAATTAGTAAATTTGAAGTGATGAGATCCCTTGATCAGTGGATGGTGGGTGCAGAAAGAGGGCCAAAGAGGGCCTAGGTAATACTGGTGTAGCATTAGCATGGACTCTAGTCTCCTTGGCCTGATTTTCAACTCCTCAAGACCATTAGTTATATTCCAGTATTCCTTATCTCCTGATTTCTATCTGGAGAACCAATCCACAGTTGGTTTTTAACCAACATTTATTAGAGAAAACTGAAATGTTGAATGACTTCTCATGTTGAAATTTCTTTTCTCTCTCTTATAGGACATTGGGGACACACTGAGCAGGTACAGTGTCTTTTCTCCCTAGTGTTAAGTCAAGCACAGGAAGACTGTCTCTCTCACACTTGGTCACATCCTGAAAGGAGCCCAAAGCCTGGGATGGGCATATTACCCATGTGACCCATATCCAGTCCGTGCCTGAGGAAAGTCACTACTATGCAAGGAACTGGACGAACCTTTCACACTCTTCTCAGAGAAGGAAATGGGATTATTGACAAATTATTGAGTCGGGGTAGGAGGAGATGGCTAATTTGAAATAATGCATTGTGATTTAGGGATATGTGGACACTTCCAGAATATTAACCACCCCAGTGGGATTATGGGGATTTCAGGGGATTGGGCAGAGTACAAGGAGAGTTTATGGTTATTGCTTCATAAACATAACAGAATCCTTTAGTTTTCATGGTGTCTTTTTTTTTTCTACAAGGGGGAAAGTAAGGCCTAAGGAAGGTGTTACTGGGTAAGACTTAAAATATTAGTGTTGAGCAACCTGAGTTTTGGCTCTTACTCTGATTATTTCTCAGCTCTACCATCAAATAGAAAGTGAGGAGGTGCTTCCTGGGAGTTGGGGCCAGACTGAGGAGGGAGACCTCATAGTGGGCATGAAAGGGCTGAGTTGTGTTTGCAGGGTGGGTGTCAAGGGCAAATGGGATTGGCCTTAGGAAGATAATTCTTGTTGTGAGAGTACCTATAGAAGTGGAGACTGCTTTGAAGCATCTGCGCTTCCAAGTTAATTAGAATAGTGAATGGTAAAGTACTAACTTCTAGAGGAAAATACTTGATTAGGTGGGGGCAGGTAGGGAGGGCCTTGCAGAATGGGGTTGCTAGGAGACCTGTGGGAATAGAATCATATGAATAAGATGGAGATTCGAGAGTCCCTGGGATAGAGATGAGTGTCGCAGCCAGATGACCCAAACAAACTGCTTTTTCAGTCAGTTTTAGGCGCCAGTCTAGTTTGGAACAAACATTATGGAGTTAGACACTTCAGACGCCAGCATTTTTTTATATGAAGAATTGAGTTTGGTTAGATGAGAGGAAACCCAAAGCTTCACTGGCTTAAGGCTTAAATATAATAAGCATTTTTGTCACCATATTAAAAAATATTCAGGTATGTAATTCAGGGCTGATATGGTGGCACCAGTGGTTCCTTCTGTCATTCCTAAGGCATGGTCCTCTTTCATTGTCTAAGATGTTTACTTGAAAGCCAGCCAGCAGAAGAAAGATAGGAGTTACATCACCTTTTTCATTAGACTTCTCAAATCACCACAAATGCCATCACAGTCACGCCTAGCTACAAGGGAGACTGGGCATCCATGAGCCTAGTAAAATTGAAGATAGTAGAAGGGATATTGGGTTGCCAGCTCGCAGGCTTTGCCATATAGACTGCTTGGGAAATGGGGGACAGGTAAGGGTAGTCGGCTATTCTCCAGTGTCCTAAGACACTGAAGGTGTCATTCTACCCATATTGAGAACCTGAGGACTCTGGATACTTGCCTAACTTGAATATCAAGATGCTTCCTGGACTTTATTATAGAATCTAGTGCTTCCTGGGAAAATCAACCTAATCAGTTTAATGGATAAATCTTATCTGAGGACTTTATATTTGTAAAACTGTGACCTAGGTGCTTTGGATGCCAAAATGAGTCATCTGTTACCCCTGCTTTGATCTAGAACCACAGTGTAGGTAGAAAGTGTGGGACAAGTTTTAGTGGTTGATTTTAAAGACTGGCCACATATTTAGCCCAGACTCTCTCCTCCTGGCCACAGAGTTGAAGAAAGGATTCACTCTTTTTTTCTTTCCTTTCTAGGGCTGAAAGAATCCGGATCCCTGAACCTTGGATCACACCTCCAGATCTGCAAGAGAAAATACACATTTTTGCCCAAAAATGTCTGTTCTTGACTGAGAGTTTGAAGCAGTTCACAGGTAATGCGAGGAGAGGGAGGGATCAGAAGGAGAAATGGATTTATGGTCTGAATACCTATTGCCTGAAAGGATATATTTTCCAGCTGGGGAGTAGGATGTAAACTGAATGTCTTCTATTTTCCCTTTAGAAAAAATGCAGTCTGATATGGAGAAAATCCAAGGTAAGTGTATCAATTTAATGGGCTTTGGATGTTGACGTTTCTTGGGAAGAAGAGCATGAACATTAAAGTGTGGAGAAATGAGAGGAGAGAGAGACCCACTGGCCAGCCTGCCCAGATTGTCTTTCTGTTTTATTAGCTTTCCTCAGTTAATAGCCTCTTGTTTTAACTTAAAGTCTGCTAGCTATATTTAGTCAGTTCTCAATTAATTTATGTTGATGAAGGAGAGAAATAGACAATGCAAAATTTAATTAATTCAGAATTGTTATTGTTGTTAAGTGCCATCGAGTTGGTTCCGACTCATAGCTACCCTGTACAAGGTTTCCAAGGAGCAACTGGTGGGTTTAACCTCTGATCTTAGGATTCGAAGTCCAGTGCTGATTCTACAGTGCCATACCAGGAGTCCAATCCAAAATTAGTTTAAGTATTTTTAGGTTTTAAAAAAATTACTATTATTATTTTAATTGGGAAAGAGAATGAACAGAAACTCTACCCTAGTTATGTTTCCTTTGAAGCAGTATTTGAGGTTCATTCCTTATTATCTCTGAGCACAAGTACTAACAATAGAGGAGGGCTGGACGCTACAGAGAGGTGATGGTTAGGAGCAGGGATTCTAGGTTTGGGGTCCCTCTCTTTCTCTTACCAAGAATTCTCCACCATAAATTTCACATATGTAAAATGTGGAAAATAATCATTCTTCTGTCATAAAGTTATAGGGATGAAATTGGTTGCCTTTTCTTAAACCCTTTATAAGGGAGCTGGACTCATAATGAACACTATGTTTATGTTAATTAGATAAAGTGTTATAGACATTTGGGAGAAGGTTTTCCTACATTTAAATTTTTCTGCTCATGAACCATATACCAATAGAAATTGACTACATACAGGATGTGAACATTCCTAGGCAGTGGAATCTGAAATCCTTATATGTAGGTAAATCCTGCACTTCTTTATTACAAAGTATAGTTTCCATTGTTGCTTTTATTGTCATTAAGTGCCGTCAAGTCAGTTCCAACTTATAATGACCCAATATAGGGAGTAAAGATTTACTGAGGCTGTAAATCTTTGTGGGAGCAGAAAGCCTTATCTTTCTCCTGCGGGGTGGCTGGTGGGCTCAGACTGCCACAAGGTTGACAGTCCAGTGCTTGTAGTAGGGAGCCACCAAACTCATATAATTCCCCATTGTTGTTGTTAAGTGCCACTGAGTCAGCTCCAACTCATAGCGACCCTGTATAAATAGGGTTTTTGAGGAGCAGATGGTGGGTTTGAACCACCGACTTTGTAGTTCACCATCCAGTGCTTATCCTATAGCGCCATACCAGGAATCCTAGTACTTGTATCCTATCATATAGGCGGAATCCCTATTTGCAGGGCATCTCCCCAGACATACACTTCTTTTCTTTTTTTTGCATCTAGTTACATAGATTTAGGTGGCACCCGCAAGTCTTCCATAAACAAGGCAATTAGTAAAAATATCTACATAATACAATGTGTGGATAATACCAGAAAGTGGTTCCTCTGTCTGACTCTTTAACTTTTACTCTTCTGCCACTTAAGAGGCTCAATGAAAACATCTGTGAAAATGTTTTGTCAACTGGAAAGCACTTCATAAATAAATGGTCTTGCTTGCCCCAGAGTGAGCGTATGGGGGTTAACTGGAGCTACCCAACCTGACACAGAGGTGGATTATGGAAGCTAAGCAGTCTGTACATCATGGGCTTGCAACTATGTTTTCCTCTTGAAGAGTCAGCTGACCCATTCCAGGAGGCTGGAATTCTTGATCTTGACTCTATTTAACTCCATATTCTACCAGTTTCATACTTGTGATTATTCATTTACCGAAGGTTTTCAGTCCCACTTCTCTTGAAGCTATTGGTTGGGTGATGGAGTCATATGTTGTATGAAAAAATCAGTGCATGACTGACTGACAAGGAGGGTTCTGGGGTTTTTAGTGGAGACCATTACTTTATGGTGATTGTAGCCAAAGTTCCCGCAGTTTATGTGTTTTGTGGGAAACCTTCGCATGACTTCTGTAAAGTTCGTTTCTCTTTTGTTCTTTCAGAATTGCGAGAAGCTCAGTTATACTCAGGTAGGTGATGGCAGACAGAACCATATCAGAGAAAAGAAGAAAGAGCCATGTGAACATAATTACTAATTGTCGATAATTTGGGGAAATGATTAAATTTGATTCCTTTAGGTTACGTAGGAGCCCTAGTGGCGCAGTGGTTAAATGCTTGGTGGTTGAAACCCATTGGCCACTCCTCTGAATGATGTGGCAGTCTGCTTCTGTAAACTCATGAGACAGTTCTGCTCTGTCCTATAGGGTCACTCTGAGCCAACTCAGTGGCAGTGGGTTGGTTTTTACGTTACATGTGTAAAAGTGATAAGCAATGACAACAAATCTGCTGATTACTTCTGTGTGTTCTTACCTCATGAAATTTCTCAGATTTGAAATCCAGAGTTTTTAAATCAGAGGAAATCTAACTTAGTTGCTGTAAAGGCTTACAGAATGGAAGCTCTAGTTCCTAGAAAGGCACTGCTGGTATGCTGGCACACTGGTCTGCCTGCTGAGCCTCAGATGGAACTTATGGCTGGGGGAGAAGTGATTGAGCTCAATTCTCATTCTGAGCACCACAGATAATCTGGGAATCCTGCACATTCTGCCTTTGCAACTCTTGGGGCAAGAATTTACACTCCTCCTCCCCCAGCACTACCTTTACTCTCAGATTTCGTGACACTAGTAACGTCTCTGATCTTAGAGGTACTCAAATCAGAAATCAGAGACGTGCTTTTTTTTTTTTTTTTTTAAATGTTTTATTGTGAATTATGTGATAGTTTACATGGGAGAACATTAGTTTTACAGTCATTCTATCGTACATTGTCTCATTGCCATGGTTACAATCCCCTCCATGCAATCCTTCCCCGGTACCCCCCAGGTCTTCAGCACACAGTCGCTCTCCCTCTCTGGATCCAAAGTCTCCAGTTGCTCCATCGCTCCACGTCATCATCTCTGGCTCCATTTCAGGCATCACTGCTTCTCCGGGTAGGGTCCCACTCTCCACTCTTCTCCGTTGATGGTCCCAGGGACCTCCGCTCCTAGACCAAAAAGTCAATCACTCCCCTCCCTGTTACAAAACGTCCACCTCTACATTTCCAACCCTCACAATCAGTCCTGATATCAATTATTCACTATTGTATCACAAGAGACCCGTCTGTATTTCATTGTATCAGCTCCGCCTAGACAGATTGAATACTACTCACTGGAGATTCTACCTTCCTCTAGGCCCTCTGGATCTAGGTTCCCTCTTGAAAGCTTGTAAGCCAGTCACTTCTTGCCTTTGTAGCCCCCGCCCCCCATTTTGGGTAGCCAATGTCCAAGTT